AGCAAGGCCGTGGCGTAGCCGTGATCGAGACAAGTCGAGGGAACGCAACACCCGATCCGTCATCATTGGTGCTTTCGTTGAGAGTGATCGATTGGGTGTTCGTGAACTTTTTATATCCCATTCTTTTTCTTTTGTTCGATTTTTTTGAGTCTTTGTGTTATAATTTTTTCGAATTTTATCCCTTAATTTTCGAAAAATTCGTGAGTATCAAAAAAAAAAGTGTCATCTAGTCCTTTTGTTTGATTTTTTTTTTCAGTTATTACCTTTTGTTGAAGGGTTTGTGTCGAAATTTTCGAAACTCTTGTTCGAAGTTTTCATTTATTTTTTGATTTTTTATAGAGTAAAAAAAAAAATGTCTTATGAGCCAATGGACGAGATGGATTGGGAAGATCTCGAGTTATTGGAGAGTTTGGAGAGAGAACTCACCCCATGGGAGAGCACATATCTAGACGAGCTCCATGAACGAAGAAATCGAGAAGAGTACGAGCGACAACTCGTAGAAGGTCGGGGAGCAATGGAGGGTGAAGTTCAAAACCGTGAAGATGATGGTGCGGTTAATTTTCTAATCCTTGAGGACAAGGAAAGTCTTGAAGAGGAGGGGAATGATACGGAAGTGGTCATCAACCCAGGCGAGTCCGGCGAGGAAGAGGTCGATGGTCTCGACATATGGCTGGAAAACATGTTGGAGGAGCCATCAAGCTCGATTTATCGACCATCATGCAAGAGAGACTGGCCGAAAGGGTGTGGTCCACGGGCTAAGCTAAAGCCTAAGAAGCGCAAGACCAAACAAGCTCGAAGGGAACGCAAGGCGAAGACTAAAGAAGCATACTGCTGGTGTAAACCATGCACAAGGAAAAGACGAGCACGTAAGAAGGAGGCTAGAAGGCGTGGTTTGTGATGGGTTGACAAAGGGTGGTGGATATCGGTGGACGATTGTGAGAGGTTAAAGGGTTGGGACCCATGGCCCGAACCAACGGTGATGATCACCGACGAGAAGGGCGACGACGATCGGCTAATGGGCGAATGGCACGCATCGGCCCATGATGCGCGCGGTTGGACAGAGCAGGACAATATACGGGGGTGCACGGTAAGAGGGCAAGTCACGAACGTCGACTGGGACGCGCTGGCGTTCGGTGGCATAACGACGGGGCGCGATAAGGGCGCGGATGGGCAGTTA